TCTTCCACTGCCTCCCGGAGTTGGGTCAAATGCATGTTGGTCACTTCGATGACACTGTCCATCTCATCCTCTGTCATCCCCTTCTCCTCCTGCCTTCAAACTTTCCCAACATCAGCGTCTTTTCCAGGGATCCCAAACCCAAACAGTAACAAAAGAGTGGCTAATCTGGAATTTCGGGTTCCCATCATGATCTATCCCAGAACCACCACCCCTCTACTTGTAGAATCCAAAAATGCAAAGAGTTAGACAGGTGCGTTATCAACAAATGAGAATCATTTGTAACGTTGGTGGCTGTTCTTTGCTCATTTGAAACCAAACCACCCTCAAATACTTTGCATTATAACATGGGTAGCATGCAACAATATACTGATCTATTTCTGTCCCAGCTACTACTGTGAGTATTGCAGCTAAACTCAGACAAAGTGTGGACTCCTGAGGGGAATGGCAGATGTTGTTATGATCCAGGTGATCAGAAAGTCCTGGGTTTTGGACCTTACAAGACCTGGCTCTGCTACACCACTGCTGCCAAGAAACCCAGATCATATCTGCTAAGTAAAGCAGATCATTTTCATGTTAACTTCAGCAGCTCTGATGAATAGGGGATGCTCTTGTGGCATGTAAATGTATGATCTATCCAACTCATGTACTATGAACATTTTTATGTTTTATTGCATAGTAGCTCATGTACATTATAGCTTAGATGAGGATGTGTTTCATATTTATTCATTTTAATTCTTGGGCTATGATAAAAACCTGGTTGCAAAAACATTCCCCCAAATATTATTAAACTACAAGAATAATTAACTATCCTGTCCTGTTTTTGCTTCTAGCTGCTGTTTTATCCTCATAACTTCATTTAGCTTTCCTTAGTTAGTCATCTGGTTCATAGCAGCCAATCACAGATTGTAAAGGTGACAACATGATGCTACATAGCAATTAGATTTGGCTGTGACCTAACATCATTAAGGTCCCAGTCAATTCACACGGAGAGAAATGCTTCTTAGATTAATCATATGGGCAATGACTGTCCATCA